CTCTATTCAAATTAAAATAAGTAAATAAATAAATAAAATAAAATACAATAATTCTTTAAAATAATATATTTTTATTTCTTCAACAAGTTAATCTTAGTTCAGAGTAACCTTTTTACTATAAATTTTGTTAATTAAAAAAAAATTTTTTGCTAGAGGTTAGGTACATGTGCTTACCAGAGATGGAGAGTTAGAAAGGGAAAGCAAGAAAGTCCTGTCCCCATGGGGAATGATCATGCCACAATTCCCTCCATTTCTTTCTCCTTCGGGGATTTTGGGTATGTATGTACATATGCCCAGTGTGTTTTTTCCAAGCCATTGGGTATAGGACTCAAGCCACATAGCCAACCATGTGGTTTCTAGTCATCTTAACTTCCATGCCACCTGCTGCTGGCCCTATACTTTTTAATTTTTCAAAACATATTAATTTCTAAACTACTGACTTTTCTGTAACACTTAGCTTAAAGCACAGAGATATTGTATAGCTGTACAAAATATTTTATTTATATTCTAATTTTATAAATATTTTTTCTATTTAAAATCAGTTTTCTTATACTCTAAATTTTTAGTAAATGCTAAGACCAAACACACATATTCACCTAGGACTACACAGTGTCAGGATCATCAATATCACCCTCTTTCATTGTGGCGTCTTGCGCCACTGGGAGGGCAATGGTAATCAAAACGAGAGATTAAATCAAGCACAAGAAAAAAGGCTGTGATCGAGATGTACGAGGCTGCTGCCAGAGTAACACAGCATACCGCTTTAGAGTGAAGCTTGTTGAGAAATAGGGGGGGTTAGTTCTCAGATGACAATAAAAGGTGTTATGGTAAATGCCTAAGCCAGTAATGTAGCCATTTATTATAATTATCAGGTATGTAGTGTACATCACTGTATGTGCTCTGCTTTTATGTGACTGGCAGTGCAGGAGGTGCCCGTGTTAACCTGAGTGCACTGGGTGCTTCTGTAGGCACGTCTGTGATCCTGGTTAGCTGGCAGGTTGGGGGCAGGGCTGTAGCATGACAAGATCCTGTCAGAGATCCCTGTCTCTTCTCTCTCTTTCTCTTTCTTTAGTAAGTGAACTTGAAAAGTCACCCATTGACTCGTAAATCACCGAGGAATAAGATCTAAAGACATACAAAGTCCAGTATGAAAAAATATGTTTAAGAGAATGGTTACTATACTATACTTTTAATTACAAATACTACAAATAACCACCAGCAGAGGAATGCTTGAAAAAAAGTATATTCTCTTCATATAATGGAATGTTATGGAGCTACCTTTAAGAAGTTAGATCTAGCAATGTTTATATTAGCTCAAAGAGACACCTACAATATATTTTAAGTGAAAAATGCATATTGCAGAATAATGCATGTGGTATAGTCTAGAAGAAAAATATAAAAGGAAATTTGTATATTTTTTAAAGAGAGATTTTGTATAGGGCACTTGCGCTCACCAGAGAGTCATAGAGAGACAGAGAGACAGAAAGCAAGAAATCATCCCCCATTGAGGGATGGCCATGCTGCAGTCCCTTCTCCTTCATTCTCCTTTGGGGATTTTGGGCACACACGTACACGTGCCCAGTGTGAATTTTAAGCTGCCAGGTCAGGGACTCAAACTGCAGTCAACTGCATGGGAGCCCAGTGACATAACCAGTACGCCCTCTGCTGATCCTGAAAATATGCATCT